CAGCCCAGAACACTTGTATGTCTGATAAGGGCTCCGAGAGGCTCATTCCTCGCAAATATATACTTTTTTTTTTTTACTTTTTTTTTTGGTAGAGAGTTTCAATGTGACCCCGGGGCAAAAGTTGTTCAGTTCATTTTTCTGCATAACATCGTTTTTTTTTCGCTTTTTTTTTTTTTTTTTNTTTTTTTTTCGCTTTTTTTTTTTTTTTTTTTTTTTTGGGGGGCATTCGGGCTCGGCCGAATGTGTCTCCAAGGGGGCCCGATCGTTCGGCCGTTTGGGTTTGGCAGTTCGACCGGACCCCGAACGCCGGCTACCCTGGCCATGGCCATAATGATGCCCAGATTTGTTTGAAGTTTGAACATCATCCCCATCTCACAAGTACATCCCAGAGGACAATGACGACACACCATGATGGCCACAGCTCACTCCTCTCTTCTTTTTTTTTCTTTCCGTTTTTTTTTTTTCTTTCGTCGTTGACTAGTTGGTAGTCACAAAAAAAGCAAATCTTGGTAGTCACAATATTTGCTTTTTTGCGACTACCAACTAGTCAACGACGAAAGAAAAAAAAAACAAAAACGGAAACAAAAAAAAAGAAGAGTGAGCTGTGGCCATCATGGCGTGTCGTCATATTGTCCTCTGGACATGGTAGAACACCAGTTAAAAGGTATGTGAGGTGAGAGAAAAATATATGGATGTCCCCCGATGAGGAGAAGGCAGCTTTCTGAGGGGAAAAAAAAAAGAAGGCAAATCTTCACAAAGATAGTGAATCTTGGCGGTCTGAAAATTCTGAAAAAAGCTAGTCAATCACTTTTTTGAAGTTTTTCCAACTCTGAAGTTTTTCCTAAGTTTTCAAAAATCTTAGCCTCTTACAGATTTCACGGGAGTGAAAGAAGCTGCTTGACCGCCCAGCCTGTTGGCTATGAGCTTGGGGAATGGGACCGGGACAGGGCGGGCCCAGACTGCCTCGTCGGTGCTTATGACTGTGCTGGGAAATCATGAACCTGGTTGTGAAAATGACCACAATCATGCTAACTTCAGCACACATATAGTACCGGTGGAACCTGGCCCCTAGTATGAACCATACTCTGCCAGGCTCCGACATGCTACCTCCACACAAAAGAACAAAAACGAGAAGCAATGTAGATGCGTTATTGCGTGTGATATAGATGTGTGCTCTGATTCGATGAATTTATCCCATATTTCCCTCATGTGAAGGCTGTGTTGTGCCGACTACTGTCTTCACCCAAATAGAACACTCGGTCATTATAGCCGTATATGGCTGAAGTTTAAGACTAGATACAGCGATAATGACCAGGCGTTCTATTTCGTGTGAAGACGGCAGTACTTCAGTCCTTCAGTCAGGCTTTGTCTCGCTGGGAATTGCAGGCAGTTAGAGGCAGCCTGGGTACCTGGAAAAGTTTTTCTCCATCCCCCACTAGCTGCCGACAGAACCCATGCTATATACCCACATATCTAGTATGACATAATTCCATATCAATGCACCCGAGGGGAACCGCTAAAGGGAACCCAGCTATATATCGGTGAAACTCCAACGAAACAGTTTGTCACAGCCCCTCGTTTGTTGTCCTCTTCTCCCTCTCTGCCTACGGTTTACCGGGCAGTTCTATTTGACGATATATATGATATATATATATTGTCACATCACTACAAACTAAAAGAGCGCACTTTGCGGAACAAAGAATAAAAGCAAAAAACGGGCACAGTGATAACATGCAAAAATAAAAACAAAAAGAAAAACAAAAAGAAAAAACAAGGGCAGATTGAAACCATTAAATTTCTCATTCTTCTTTGAACTCCACCTCCACT